TGTATCAGAGATGTTTATCGTAGTGTGACATGTTATATACACTTCATACTAAAACACAAACAATAAAATAGAACATCCGACCATGTTTAAAAATTACAACGTCACGCACGCACGCACGTACGTAGACACATACACAGGCACATTTACAAGCGTGAATACTGTCCATGGGCGGATACAGCTTTTTTGAAAAGGGGGGGGGGGGGGAGGGGGTGCACAATTAAGATCTATTTATTGTCTTTGGTGGTAATTTATACAGAAATAAAGATCTTTTTCGAATTAAAAAGGGGGGGACGTCACATCAACAAGGAAGATCGGTTCGGCTCACTTTGTGATAAACTTATCGTTATATTAGCATGCCGTGAGTTGGGTCATTTAAGAAATACATATAAGTTAAAAATGGTTTTAACCTATGACATGCTGTTATAACGTCTTCTCTTGCGATTAGCTCAGTCGGCACTGATCTAAAGCAATTGGTTGTTGCCTTTGTTATTGTTTTTTCCCCGTGAGTACCCGGATGATATAGCTTAAATCTAGACTAGTTCGCAACCTGTGTTGCGCCATTCGTAAGCGCATTTGTCGCTTTTATTGATAGTGTAAGGGCGTATTGTAACATTGAATACAAACTGAAATACAGTTTAGTCTCGAAAATAATAACGACATGTTGGTTTCTTTGTATAGGTTATGGTGACGACGTTTTGATAAGTCACTTGCTTGGTATTGTGCGATTATTGATTAATTATACATTTATGTACACAATATAATTAATCCCTATTACATTTACTCTATTTTGACTTGCAACACAAAGAAAATATTTCACCTGAGCATTGCTTATTTTATCGTGTGTATATTTTATAGTCAAAATGTGTAATATTTTCACTTAGGCAATTTTATTAAACGCCTGAATATTCAGGTATTTTACAAATTGACGGAAAAATCGGTCCATGTCTGTTATTATGATAACGAATTCCAAACATTTTTATGCTTTACTTTCATCGCCCAGTGACTGAAAATGATAGGATTATAAGAAATCGAAATTCAAAATACATTTCTATAGTTTTGGCTTCTAATCCTAGCATAATTATTCTCTTGTGGTGTTTTAAGCCCTTTTGAAACTCTCAATAGTTGCTCGTCAACTTGTAAATTACTGAAATATTTAAGCATTTCATAAATTGCCTGAGTGAATCACATTTTCACATTGACTGTAACAGAAACACGTTAACAAACGATAAGGCTTGTGAAAACAACGTCTGTTTCACATCGAAGAACGTCCCAACGAAAACGTAGAGGAAAAATAATGATTCTATTCAACAGCAAATGAATGAAAACAAAATACAAATATCATAATTTCAATCTACTAAAGTTATATGTTATATTTAAGATATATATATATAAAATTAGGCAGCTACCTTGTTCGAGGAATGTATCCGTGAATATCCACTTGAAGGAACAATATTCCACACGTCTGCAGCTGTACAAATAAACTTATTCGACGTCACGTGGCTCTGTTACAATCAAATATTTTAAAATATATATAGCTTTTCGGGTCTTGAGCCCGTGTTCGTTTCTCAACTGATCACTTAGTTTGGGGTGTTTCACATAGGTGTCAAGTCTCAAAGGTCAGCTTGAGTCAGCCCACGTGACAACTATTTTCATAATGTTCACGGTTCTTTAAAAACACACACATAGAGTTAGATACAATGAACAATCAATCAACGTTTTATCGGCTAGTCCTTTCAACAAAGTATGTCGTATTTTCTGCTGATCCTTTGATGACGAGGAATGATCCATTGATTTACAAAAAAGTAAATCAACTGATCACTCCTCTTTCTGGGCTGCCACATGCATACTACATAACATTGCTGTGTTTGTGTTGTCAGAGCAGGTATTCCGCTCATTGTGCAATTGTTGTTTATTGTTTACATGTTGTGCATAAAGCGTTCCGGGACAGTGATGTCGATTTTGTCCTTTATTCCCCCAAGAGCTAATTACCCGTCAACACAAGCCCATTGACAACTGGTGTTAGAATCCGGCTGGAGTAACTTTTGAGCTTACTCCCGATCCCGTAACCTCTCCACTTGCCTACCATCTACATACGTGTATATATCGAGGATGAACCCCCAAGTCCTGTGTCTACCCCAGGAAATCGCTAGCGTCCTGATCAACATGGATCTCCAGCACCTCCTTCTTGAATGGACCATCCAAGAAAGTATGGACAACCTTCAAGTGAACCTAAAATAGAGGAAACAGCCAGCAGCCACAGTGAGTAATGTCGTAATAAAGTCGTCAACCATGAATGGAGCGAGATAGGAAGCGCCATATAACAGTTATATGAAGAGAAAATGTGCCCAACTCCATGCTGATGAATGCGCCTCGCTGAGCACCACAAACGTACATACAGTCAGTACAGTTGCCAAGTGTATCAACAAGAAGGCAACACCTACGTACAGTGATGCGTCATGTCAAATAGCTCAGATTGAAGACGAAGAATACGTTGAGTCCAAACTTCTTTAGTCGGCAATAATACATGTACAAACAAATACAATTACTAATAGAAATATGTCGAGCGGAGATTCCAACTCAACAACTACAAGTCAAGTCCAGCAAGCAGGCGTATCCTACTCGCGGCTGTACATACAGGTGCTGTCGGAATACCAGACTGCCTAACAGTAAAGATGTAAACATATATATACACTATAGGACAACAATAGACAGACAATGAAACAATGGCGTTGCCCTGGACTTATGGATGTGATTACAGACACGGCCCCGGGGAAAATGGATTAAGGCTATCAATGTCATAATGTGAAATGCTGTGTTAGACAATGGTTCAACTGACCGCTGTTACGCATGGATTACATCATGTTAAATACATGTAGTCCAGATTTCCTAAACGATATGTTCTCAATACTGTACAAAAGTGATGTTGTTCAGAAGCTACAATTCTTTAACATTGCGTTGTCCAGAGTGCAGTTAAGTCACTCTGTGACACCTGTAATAAATCCATTAAATGAGGTTCAAGTGAATGACAACAATAAGGGAGTAGCAATCGTATTATCCACGCAATCCGAAATCCGAAAATGCTTTCACTTCAGGGATACGTTTTATTCTTATTAAACCATAACCATCTGGGGTATTTTCAAATAAGAACTTCCGATGAGCTTCCACCGTTCTTTTTGTGTGTTTGTTTAGGCTCAAGAAATTAACTAACATGCGCCCTTTTTCGAAGTCTTCATACATCACGGGTAACCAATCAGTGTTCAAAAATGCGTAAAACAGATATTGCCTCGAAGTTGATTTACGCTGTCCTTACAAACGATAACCCTGTCTCTTGTCACGCTCAGTTGCGTTAGCGAGCAAATCGACTCACAGCAGCTGGTGAGCCTCAGCGGGCAGTGTCGGACAGACGAGAAGAAGCCAGAGATTAGTGCCTCTTTAAATGTTGACTGCGTATGCTGAACTAACTATTGTCTTATTACCGTGTGTAAATGTTCTGCTTGTCAACTTGTGAGTCATGAGAATTAATATCTTCTTCTTCTGTGCGCGATTGAATTCTTTTGACAATTACGAGTCCTCCCTGTTGGTCAAGCGTTACTCTAGTGTTGGCGGCTAATCGTAAGTTAAAAACTTTGAGTTGATAATGTCGACATTGTTTCAACAAAATATTAAAGCACTTAGTAAATAATACTGACTTTATTTCACTCAATATTACAAATGTAAAAAAACATTGAGTTGATAATGTTGACATTATTTCAGCAAAATTGAAAAGCATTGAGTTAAATGAACGACATAAACAATAATACAAGTTCAACTCACATGCAAAACAGTTTTTACATACGTTTTTCACAAACATTGTTGACGAATTTAATAGCTATGAGACACAACTGGGAAATTCATAGCACTAAGTTTTTAATTTCATGAAGTTTATAAAGTTAATTAATCTAACCAAGTTTCAGCAAATGTCCGGCTGCATCAAGAAAGGGTTGTGGGGTCTTCTCCCAAAGTTGGTAAGGAAAGATTGACCACTATTCATTATGAAATTTATGGAATGGTAATAAGAATATTTCGGATGTTTAACTATAGGCCATTCACCTCATACTATATATGCACCGAATATTTGGAATAGGTCCTACCGCAGCACTCTGGCATGACGGATGGCGCCGTGATTTTCTGTGTAGAGTTGCGTCCCTTGGGCACGCCATAAACTTATGATTGTGGGTTCGAATCACGATTCGCCCCGATTATGTTTCTAGGTTTATCAGCACCATCCCGTGCTCATGGGTTTCACTGAAGAGGTAAACGCCTGAGACCTTTCCTCCCACATTAAGCTGACACGCCGTGATACGACTATGATACTGTTGAAAGCGGCGTAGAAGATAATGTAGCAATGTCGAAGATAAATCTTATGTTTCAGTTACCTGTGAATTCAACTCTGATATAAGATCGGAATTATTTCATCAATCCTCTCCAGTTAATCCACATTTTGTTAACATGGCTGCAGTTGATGAATTCGCATTTCTGATGCAGTGTGAAGAGTAATCGTTAGTCCTCGCCCCTGTCGTCAACATGATGTAGCATAGCCTATCATCTATAAATACACTTACTTTCATACCTAAGGTGAAATGGAAATCTACGCCCGCGCGTGTGTGGCTGCTTGTACCAGTCCGGACTAGTGCCGATTTTATAGTGCTAGCCCACTGAGATTAAACATGCATAACACTCATACACAGTATACTGACTCCGAAACGACCAAAATATTTTCTGATGGTGTTTTGTGAAAACTTGTAATGAGCGTGCTGAGCTTATGGAAGTTCATATGTGATAGGATCAGGGCGAAGTACGTCCTGTGTTGTCAATGTTAACCATACAAATATATATATGTTTACACTGAACGAATGAATGACGCGTTTCAATAATGCATGTTAGTGAGCAAATATTGCGAGTACTGAATGGCAGATAGAGTGTACATGGGGTATTTCAAGGACAGAACGAGAGGAAGGACATTGACAATTTCACTGATTTTATTTTCTATCGAGAATACACGTTTTCAGTACAGTTATCCACATTTACAGATGAATACTTCTGAGTGCGAGACAGAAAAGGGGTACAGTGGACGGCGTGTTGTAGATGTGAGTGAGGGGGAATCAGGGCGTACAGTGGACGTCGTGTTGTAGGTGTGAGTGAGGGGGAGTCAGGGCGTACAGTGGACGGCGTGTTGTAGGTTGTTGTGGGTATGGGGGAGTCAGGGCGTACAGTTGACGGCGTGTTGTAGGTAGGTGTGAGTGAGGGGGAATCAGGGCGTACAGTGGACGGCGTGTTGTAGGTAGATGTGAGTGAGGGGGAGTCAGGGCGTACAGTGGACGTCATGTTGTTGGTGTGAGTGAAGGGCAGTCAGGGCGTACAGTAGACGGATTGGTGTAGGTTGTTGTGGGTATTGGGGAGTCAGGGCGTACAGTAGACGGTGTGTTGTAGGTAGGTGTGGGTGTGTTAGGGGGAGTCAGGGCGTACAGTGGACGGCGTGGTGTAGGTAGGTGTGTGTGAGGGGGAGTCAGGGCGTACAGTAGACGGTGTGTTGTAGGTAGGTGTGGGTGTGTTAGGGGGAGTCAGGGCGTACAGTGGACGGCGTGGTGTAGGTAGGTGTGTGTGAGGGGAGTCAGGGCGTACAGTAGACGGCGTGTTGTAGGTAGGTGCAGGCGAGGGGGAGTCAGGGCGTACAGTAGACGGCGTGTTGTAGGTAGGTGCAGGCGAGGGGGAGTCAGGGCGTACAGTAGACGGCGTGTTGTAGGTAGGTGAAGGTGAGGGGGTGTCAGGGCGTACAGTGGACGACGTGTTGTTGGTAGGTGTGGGTGAGGGGGAGTCAGAGCGCAGAGTGGACGGAGTGGTGTAGGTAGGTGTATGTTAGGGGGAATCAAGGCGTACAGTGGACGGAGTGGTGTAGGTAGGTGTGGGTGAGGGGGAGTCAGAGCGCAGAGTGGACGGAGTGGTGTAGGTAGGTGTATGTTAGGGGGAATCAAGGCGTACAGTGGACGGCGTGGTGTAGGTAGGTGTGTGTGAGGGGGAGTCAGGGCGTACAGTAGACGGCGTGTTGTAGGTGATGCAGGCGAGGGGGAGTCAGGGCGTACAGTAGACGGCGTGTTGTAGGTAGGTGAAGGTGAGGGGGTGTCAGGGCGTACAGTGGACGACGTGTTGTTGGTAGATGGGGGTGAGGGGGAGTCAGAGCGCAGAGTGGACGGAGTGGTGTAGGTAGGTGAAGGTGAGGGGGTGTCAGGGCGTACAGTGGACGACGTGTTGTTGGTAGATGGGGGTGAGGGGGAGTCAGGGCGTACAGTGGACGGAGTGGTGTAGGTAGGTGTATGTTAGGGGGAATCAAGGCGTACAGTGGACGGAGTGGTGTAGGTAGGTGTATGTGAGGGGGAGTCAGGGCGTACAGTGGACGGAGTGGTGTAGGTAGGTGATGCAGGCGAGGGGGAATCAAGGCGTACAGTGGACGGAGTGGTGTAGGTAGGTGTATGTTAGGGGGAATCAAGGCGTACAGTGGACGGAGTGGTGTAGGTAGGTGTATGTTAGGGGGAATCAAGGCGTACAGTGGCCGGAGTGGTGTAGGTAGGTGTGAGTGAGGGGGAGTCAGGGCGTACAGTGGACGGTGTGGTGTAGGTAGGTGTGGGTGTGTTAGGGGGAGTCAGGGCGTACAGTGGACGGAGTGGTGTAGGTAGGTGTATGTGAGGGGGAGTCAGGGCGTACAGTGGCCGGAGTGGTGTAGGTAGGTGTATGTTAGGGGGAATCAAGGCGTACAGTGGACGGAGTGGTGTAGGTAGGTGTATGTGAGGGGGAGTAAGGGCGTACAGTGGACAGAGTGTTGTCGGTAGGTGTATGTGAGGGGGAGTCAGGGCGTACAGTGGACGGAGTGGTGTAGGTAGGTGTATGTGAGGGGGAGTCAGGGCGTACAATGGACAGAGTGGTGTAGGTAGGTGTATGTGAGGGGGAGCCAGGGCGTACAGTGGACGGTGTGGTGTAAGTAAAGGTGTGTTGCAGGTAGGTAGGGATGCGTCAGGGGGAGGTATTCTCTCTGTTTCAGGTAAAGACACACACGCAGTGATTGGGTACCTCCACCGGAATGAACTCGCCTGTTGTGACCAGAACCCAGGAGATACGGTTTTCCTGGTGACACACACCGCCGACACTGCAGGCTTGACCCTCACTGAATTAAACACAGAATTAAATCATACCTCCATGTGACCCGTGGCACTCTTTGACAGATACCGGGATTTACTACGTGTCATTAAATATAGCGAGTGGCACATAAAACAGACTGTATATGATGGAATCAATAAACATTATTATTTATTTAGTAACGAAATTCTCTATTCACCTGAAAACAGTATATTACACTCAAATACTACTTCTTTCTGACTAGATTGTTGGTAAAATGTGTGAAGCCCATTTTTGGAGCCCCAAGCCGGGATATTGCTGGAATATTGCTAAAAGCGGCGTAAAACTATATTCACGCCTTCACTCTGTCTAGATTGACACTGTGGTTTTCAGACTCAGACGTGTGAAATCAGACAAGTAAAATAGTGAAAATGCGACGTTTTCCTGTTAAAATAACATGTCATCTCGTATCAGTATCTGCACGCCGTCAACTCACTTGGAACATGTACCTATATGTAGTATCTGCGCGCCGTCAACTCACCTGGAACATGTGCCTATATGTAGTATCTGCACGCCGTCAACTCACCTGGAACATGTGCCTATATGTAGTATCTGTACGCCGTCAACTCACCTGGAACATGTGCCTATATGTAGTATCTGCACGCCGTCAACTCACTTGGAACATGTACATATATGTAGTATCTGCACGCCGTCAACTCACCTGGAACATGTGCCTATATGTAGTATCTGCACGCCGTCAACTCACCTGGAACATGTGCCTATATGTAGTATCTGTACGCCGTCAACTCACCTGGAACATGTGCCTATATGTAGTATCTGCACGCCGTCAACTCACCTGGAACATGTGCCTATATGTAGTATCTGTACGCCGTCAACTCACCTGGAACATGTGCCTATATGTAGTATCTGCACGCCGTCAACTCACTTGGAACATGTACCTATATGTAGTATCTGCACGCCGTCAACTCACCTGGAACATGTGCCTATATGTAGTATCTGCACGCCGTCAACTCACCTGGAACATGTGCCTATATGTAGTATCTGTACGCCGTCAACTCACCTGGAACATGTGCCTATATGTAGTATCTGCACGCCGTCAACTCACCTGGAACATGTGCCTATATGTAGTATCTGCACGCCGTCAACTCACCTGGAACATGTGCCTATATGTAGTATCTGTACGCCGTCAACTCACCTGGAACATGTGCCTATATGTAGTATCTGTACGCCGTCAACTCACCTGGAACATGTGCCTATATGTAGTATCTGTACGCCGTCAACTCACCTGGAACATGTGCCTATATGTAGTATCTGCACGCCGTCAACTCACCTGGAACATGTGCCTATATGTAGTATCTGTACGCCGTCAACTCACCTGGAACATGTGCCTATATGTAGTATCTGCACGCCGTCAACTCACTTGGAACATGTACCTATATGTAGTATCTGCACGCCGTCAACTCACCTGGAACATGTGCCTATATGTAGTATCTGCACGCCGTCAACTCACCTGGAACATGTGCCTATATGTAGTATCTGTACGCCGTCAACTCACCTGGAACATGTGCCTATATGTAGTATCTGCACGCCGTCAACTCACCTGGAACATGTGCCTATATGTAGTATCTGCACGCCGTCAACTCACCTGGAACATGTGCCTATATGTAGTATCTGTACGCCGTCAACTCACCTGGAACATGTGCCTATATGTAGTATCTGTACGCCGTCAACTCACCTGGAACATGTGCCTATATGTAGTATCTGCACGCCGTCAACTCACCTGGAACATGTGCCTATATGTAGTATCTGTACGCCGTCAACTCACCTGGAACATGTGCCTATATGTAGTATCTGTACGCCGTCAACTCACCTGGAACATGTGCCTATATGTAGTATCTGCACGCCGTCAACTCACCTGGAACATGTGCCTATATGTAGTATCTGTACGCCGTCAACTCACCTGGAACATGTGCCTATATGTAGTATCTGCACGCCGTCAACTCACCTGGAACATGTGCCTATATGTAGTATCTGTACGCCGTCAACTCACCTGGAACATGTGCCTATATGTAGTATCTGCACGCCGTCAACTCACCTGGAACATGTGCCTATATGTAGTATCTGCACGCCGTCGACGGTGGATGTGACGTTGTATTTGCGGTGGTCCAGTAACCCCGTCACCGTCGTCGGCTGTATCAACTGCATGGTCCTGCACAACACAAATTCTACCTGCCCGTGAAGATGTCAAGGAACACTAATGGTGTGATAGCATGATGATGTTATTGAATGACATTAACATCTTGATGTTGCTTGGTGAATGACCTGCATGCCTGGCTATGTTAACCAACTGGTCGGCTCGGAATTGTGTACTGTATATGAGTGGGGTATCTAACTTGGGTAGCACTATAAAATCGGCATTAGTCCGGTGCATGCAGTCACTATATATCTGCTTTGATCTCGAACACAACGTAAACCCGTTTTTACCTGACGTATAAATAGAATCGAGATGACTGGTCCGCCAACTTGTAAGACCGAATTAAGGATTGCACTTCCGTAACAGTAGATACCTTTGCGCCCATTGTAGAAGCGACAACGGAATTAATCGCAGCAAGATACGTAGGTAAGGTAGAACCCTTAAGCTTATGGAAGGACCGGAGTTGATGAAGGTATTAACAATTCCTTGTGGAGAAGCAGTAGCGATTTCGATGTTGAAATATCACTCGCGCGACAGAAAGCCTCAAAGGCATTCCTAAGGTCGTACAGGGCCTTGGTTGACGGTCTATGAGCTTCCGAAATGGTTTTGGCTACCTTTCTGGAATAACCCTTGGCAAAAAGGGATATCTGTAAATGCGCCAAACGCACAGATTGATGGGTTAGGGTTAGGTTAGGGTTAGGTTAGGGTTAGGTTAGGTTAGGTTAGGTTAGGTTAGGTTAGGTTAGGTTAGGTTAGGTTAGGTTAGGTTAGGTTAGGTTAGGTTAGGTTAGGTTAGGTTAGGTTAAGGGTTAGGTTAGGTTAGGTTAGGTTAGGTTAGGTTAGGTTAGGTTAGGTTAGGTTAGGTTAGGTTAGGTTAGGTTAGGTTAGGTTAGGTTAGGTTTAGGGTTAGGTTAGGTTAGGGTAAGGGTTAGGGTTAGGTTAGGGTAAAGGTTAGGGTAAGGGTTAGGGTTAGGTTAGGGTAAGGGTTAGGGTTAGGGTTAGGGTTAGGTTGTGAAGCAGCTGGGAGTGAAGTTGAACCAAAAGGTCGACCCATAGTGATAGATGTTGATATCTCCGGTCTGCGAGGATAAGAATGTTGTTCTACCTCCGAGTTGGACAATAGGACACTCCCAAATGCAGGGTGAGGCGACTGGTGGATACTATCTTCTGCAGGACACGGGGTCGGGTTGCGAAAAGATCGACGGGGCACAGAAACAACTGGCAAAAAACATCACGGGATGGAGACGCCATTCAGTTGGAGACGGCCTGTTGGGTCGGCACAGGGAGTCGGCTATGATGTTGGAGACGCCGGAGATGTGTCTTGCTCGAACTTGGATGTTGAGTGAGTCGATCAGATGACAGATATCGAGAGCTAGGGACAGTGGTGGCATCCATTTGCTGGAGCCATCTTGTTTCTGTACCAGCCACGGACAGGTTGTCCGACTGCATCATCAGACTGGAAGCACGCTGCCAAAGTCACTGATTTGAACTCTAAGTTGTTGATGTGAAGATGGATTCGACAGACAACCGCCCTGCCACAGGTAGCTCTTGACAATGAACTCCCCAAACATTGGTCGAGCCGTTGATGAAGAGATGTAGAGTCGGGATAAACGGCCGCAAAGAGACTTCGTCACAGACGTTCGACGGTACGAACCACCATTGGAGATGTGGTGATTTGGTAGGGAAATAAAAACCTGACGATCGTTGTTCTGAAGGTTCTGTTTAGGAAAACACTGAATGGTGTATTCCTCTCATTGTGAGAGCCTTGTGCCGACGTCAGGAGACCGAGAAGTTGTTGCCGTTGACACAGAGGGAGTGGCTGTCTGAGTGCCAATGGAACAAGGTGTTGGATACTCACCCAACCATCTTGGGGCACGGAGATCTTGCTTAGGCGCGTGTCGAACAGGGCCCTGATTAACTGAAGACGTTGAGTGGGGATCGTCTCGGATTTTCTGGCGTAGACAAGCCTGCCGAGTTGATGAAGAAGACGCTGTGTGAAGTTGAGATGTTGGAGAACGATGCCTGGATCTTCACTGGCTTGAATGCAGCCGTCGATGTATGATTCGACGACGATGCCTAGAACGTGTACAAATGTGACGAGGCGGCGAGGCGGATAAATAGACATGCTTCCAAACAGGAGCACGTTCACTTGGTAGTTGCGGCCGTGAAAATGAACCGAATGAAATATGATAATTCAAAAGAACTTTCGGACGAAGTACTCTTGGGGAGCTGGAGCTTATCCGCAAGTCAAGTCAAAAACGTAACTGGATTCTAAGGAACCAGGGGAGACATGAAGATCTATGGAGTGTTTCTCTGGCAACGGCTCCAGAAGAAGGAGAAACCATCGAGGTCGTAGGCTGAAGAGAAGCCGACGTAACTGCATCTGTGGGAGGACCTGACTGAGGGACCCTGACGTCATGGCTTGTAGGAAAGACTGAAGTTACTCCACCGGGATGGAGGTTAAATCATTAAGATTCCACGAGGTAGGATGTATCTGAACTCGTGCCTGGGACAGAGAACCTGAATGTAGCACTGAAGGAGAGTCCCAGGCGTGGCTTTTGCGGAAGTGCATCTACTGGCAGAAGCCAGTAGACGAGGGTTATCTCTGTGTCGATGAACAGAGGAACTATCGTCAAGGAGAGGGATAGCAATCTGGGTAAGCAGTGTTATGGAAGTACCCGCATCATGTGGAAAGGAGTTCATGTTCTGAGGGCAATCATGCCTCAGGTTTGCGTAGGCTTTAAGTAGCGCAGCGTTCCATGGAAAACTTCGGCGTTGAAGATGTTAGTCATAATAACAAGACCAATCACGTAGGCGAGAGTAAAGTAATTGGAAGACGAAGTGTGAGCAAAGTTAGACGAGTGTCTATTTGAATCAGTATAAAGATTGTCCTCTGAATCTGAAGCGTCCCTCCGTGAGAGATGATGAGAAGATGACCGATTCCTGATCGCCGATCCCTGGAAGAACAACGCTCAGTGTGAGATCGTCGATCTCGAGCATTGCGTCGATCTGTCGAGGTTCATCGTACGTCGATCGCGTGTCGATCCTTGGAGATTCGCTGATCCTTACAGGTGCGCCAATCTGGAGATGTAGGTTGTATCTTGGAGGTTTGTTGAACCTTAGAAGTACGTCGATCCGGGGATCCGTCACGATTCTTGAAGGGTGGCGACTCGTGGTATAAAACCTATCGCGGGACACATTAAACCTAACGCAGGACACATTAAACCACATGTACCCCGAATGATACTGATACAACTTATAATGTACCCGGATGGATACTTCTACAATGAATTTATCTTGCCGACATGTTTTAATGTGAGATTCTTAGAGAATTAAAACAAATTAAACATTGAAAGAAAACTGCTGTTCGATTGAGCTGATGATAACTCGTGCTGTGTCATGTGACTTTTGGAGAAAGCGGAATATAAGGTATCTATGTTTCTGCTCAGACATCCACGTGCGGCCTGTCTAACTCGTGGCGGGGTATAAGGGACTTATTCTCCCGCTGAGATGTTTATTTCCCTTCAAGGCGGGATACATAGTATTTTATCAAGATCACGTGAACCAATCAAATCTCATCACTCTTATATGGAAGTATGATAAAAGGTTATGACAGGGTTGTTTGACTCCAGTGTTTCGTGGTCGTGAGGTAAAGATTTATCATAACATGGTATCTAATCTACAATAGCATCCTAAATTGAGGAAAATATCTCCGTCACCCCCGTTATTCGATGAGAGTAACCCTCGACACATGGAATATCCTATTTATTATCTACTTTTGAGTAGTCTACTGGAAAACACACAGGGTGTGACACCCCTTGTATTTGTGACTAAAAACGTAACTTCGTGTTTGCAAATCTTAAAATATATAAACAAAAGTATTCTGTATCATACGTATAGATATGATTATCTTTAACAAAAGAAAATATATATGAAAACGAAAGCGAAAGTGAAAGAATACACACTGGTCAAGTAACAAAAATGGACTTTGCAAAACAAACAGCTTCGATTTACGAGTTAAATTGGAAATTAACTGTTTATAACTAAACATTGTCAAGAGAATAGCAACCGGCATGAAGTGATATTAACTCCATAAATGGCCTTCCGCCATCATATTGCCTTGTCAATGTGGAACTTACGTAAACATGAAGTCAACAGTTTGTTTACGGGCCAGACACTTTCGATAAAGGGAGACAATTTGAGGGGAGGTAACTCTTGTACGACAATATTTCTGTCAAAGTGTTTTGTTCACTGCAATGACAATATCACTTTTCTCAACTGTGGAAAACTCATACTGAAGTATGTAACATCTCTTCACATATTATTGCTCGTTATATTTACATTGCTGTCAGATTTATATCATCATATGGTAGTAACGCTTCTTACCCATGGTGTGGGTCGTGGCTGGTTGAATGTGGAGAAGGAAGCTACACAGTGTATATGTTTCCAATCAGGCTATGAATTTACAGTATGTGTAAACCAAGGTGTTATGAGATAATATTTGTAAGTATTGTCAACTCAGGAATAAATAAAAAGCCATGACATATCGGATATAATTTAAAGCATATTAGCCACCTATAAAATGATATAAAATGAAACTTTGCACCACTCTGCAAAAACTTTATCAGTAATGACACGCAATAGATGACATTTTCAGGGAATGTACACTTCATTGTACACTATGCATGTTTCCTGTAATGCATATAATTAAATATTTCCTTGAAAGCAAATACTATTAATATCATAATGTCCTCACCTCAATGTAAGCCCATACCCCTACGCGTTGTGCGGAATATATATTAAATATTCAATCCAACTAAATTATGCAAATTCCTATAGTCGCCACTGACATCACAACTTTCTATATTCGACAGTGAAATCCCCACTTCCTATAGCGGCCACCTACATCCCTGAGTAGGTGAATCGGTTGAACAGTATGTCAGTTGAATGATAGAGGAAAACCCATTTGTCTAGGGCGTACAAGTTGTCGGCGTTTACCACAATGTGGTATTAGTTCAAACAGATAACCACCGCTGATAGTACAGAAAGTATACATAGGGTTCACGATAAACTCAATAACGATTAGAACTAGAGACTGCTGTTGGGATGTGTATGACAAGCCTCGCGGGAGGCTTAAGGCTACAGACTCATCGATGTCATGCGTATGACTGCTCTATGCACGGGAAGCTCAAGGCTTCAGACTCATCTATGTTATGTGTATGACTGCTCTATGCACGGGAAGCTCAAGGCTACAGACTCATTGATGTCATGTGAATGACTGCTCTATGCACGGGAAGCTCAAGGCTGCAGACTCATCTATGTTATGTGTATGACTGCTCTATGCACGGGAAGCTCAATGCTACAGACTCATCTATGTTATGTGTATGACTGCTCTATGCACGGGGAGCTTTAAAAGGCTACAGACTCATTGATGTCATGCGTATGACTGCTCTATGCACGGGAAGCTTAAGGCTAATGACTCATCTATGTTATGTGTATGACTGCTCTATGCACGGGTACCATAGGACTACAAAGAAACACGTCCTGGTGTGGATACTTGTGTATCTCCCATGTTGTGTACGTCTGGCCTTTCCTATAACTAACCTAGTCTACTCAGAGACCAAGATGGTAATTTGGATATTTTTAAGGCGTGTACAAGGTCTCAAAGACTCATCACTTACGTCTGACAGCAGGTGTAGGTGTCTGTTGTTCCGCATGCACTGGCTGCCCGTACGTTAAGCGTCTCTGAACTCCCACAAGGCACAACCGCAGACACGCGTGTCTTGGAAGAGTCTAGTCTGTAAAGGGGCAGGTTTCCCTGAAGAACCTTGGTCTGAAAAGTCTCAATCTGGTCGTCTGTCCAGAACAGCCTTGATAAGTCAATACTCCCTGGCTCAGTCCCTACTGTTTGGTCCATTTTGCTGCATGCTATGACCACAAATGTATTCAACCACACAACGACGTCTGTCTGGCGCATATTTATCAACAGTCCTTGGGGTCAAGCTCAGTAACCAAATGATGTGCAACCGTGTAACCAAGTGATGTGGAGTGTTGTAGCCAAGTGATGTGGAGCGCTGTAGCCAAGTAAAGTGGAGTGTTGTAGCCAAGTGATGTGGAGCTTTGTAGCCAAGTAAAGTGGAACGTTGTAGCCAAGTGATGTGGAGCTTTGTAGCCAAGTAAAGTGGATCGTTGTAGCCAAGTGATGTGGAGCGTTGTAGCCAAGTGATGTGGAGCGTTGTAGCCAGGTGATGTGCAGCCGTGTAGCCAGGTGATGTGGAGCCGTGTAGCCAGGTGATGCAGACCCTCCTTCTAAACTGGAGATTCAACCTTTTGATATTGGTTGAATTGCTGTGGCTTCAACATGAATCATGCAGATAAATATTCCAACGGTGTCGGTTGCCGTATAGATCCAGTGCATGCAGCCACTCGCTTTAGTGGCCGTCTTGTTGTAAAGGACAAACCTAAATATACACCTCCTGAATAGCATATCTCTGATGGGAATATTTATATAGAGAACCGTTGGCGCGAAATGCCTTAAGGCACCTCCCGTCAACCCCCACAAACACCACGACATGACAGCACAGAAAGCACAGTGTACGGAGAGTCGAGGACGGGACACCCAGCAGAAGAATACATGTAGCATACATAAGTAATACGCAATCAGCGACTTCAGCATGTTTGGATGCAAACTATTGTACAATACATATATGTATATGAACTTATTGTATAGTAAGTATATACTTGGTATCTGTCGAGATACGCCAACGGGTAATTAAAGTATGCTGCGTCAGAGGTCGTGCCAGATGCGAGCTAATGGATGTATGATCAGTTTTCACAAGGAAGCCCACGTCGTAACAGGGACCTAAAACGTTGCCATCGCCCACTCACGCCCACGTCGATGTATGTTCACAGCAGCAGCTGGCAACTATGTGTAACTTGTAACGACATTGAGTCAGTGAATTTGTGTGCCAGAGGACGCCCGACCTAGCATAGATTACCTTGCATATTATTGACATATGGTATCTCAGAGGCCACTCAGACTAGCCTAGATTATGATGCATATTACTGCCATATATTGTCTTAGAGGACACCCGGTATAGCCCAGTTTATCTAGATTCTGCCATGGCAGAGTCCGACAGGAACCGATGTCCATCTTTAAATTTACATTTACGTCACTGATTACAGAAGGACTCTGACAATGACTTGACCCATATATCATATGGTAGCAATTACTTTCGAATGTTGGTAGCTACTAGAGAAATGAAAATACTTATTTAATGAACCCTGCGATTACACTACCCCTAGAAATACAGCTAAGTGTAGCGATGAAACTATTCATGAGCTACACAAGTAGCGACAGTAGATCGGCGTACTATCTGCTACAATACACAAGCACGTCAGTGGCACTGACGTCATACACAAGGGGACGGGCCAACGCTGGGGGACACATGTTGCCGCTCCAGATGGTGAGGCGATAGCAGCGATTCTGGACGGCTGGTGGGCGCCAAACACTCGAATGTACGCACACAACGTGTGAGAAAGTGACGATGCGTTGTTGTACAATTAGCTGTACGATTGTAAGTTTCCTTTCCCACTTAAGACTCGAGTCATCTGCTATATCACAAGTGTGGCCCACACACCATGTGAACATGCGGAACGTCCATGGATTCTCGTGTTCATATCTCTGCAAGAAAATGACCACACAAATGTGTAGCAAGTAATTCGAATATCAGACCCACGAAGTTTTGTACAATACCAACCCAACCCTACCTGAGATGTACCTCCTGTACGGTCTCAAAGATGCGCGTGTTAAAGGCAAACGTCAAAGAGACTGCTGTGTTTCTAAAGTTTCTCTGTTTCTTTGTTTGTTGTTTAACGCCCCACTCAGCAATATTCCAGCTATGTGACGGTTGTCTGTAAATAATCGCGTCTGGACCACACAATCCAGTGATTGATATCATGGTCATCGATCCACTCAATTGGGATACGATGACACGCATCAACCAAGTCAGAGAGCCTACCGCCCGATCCCGTTATTCACATCTTACGACAAGCATCGCCGCCTTTTACGACAATCAATGGTTTCTGAAGACCTATTCTACCCCGCATCCTCACGGGTCTTTTAATACAGCATCATTACCTGGTGACGTATCGTTGGTCAAAACCTAGATCAAGATAATGCACAATTCACTGACTAAGGATCGCCCAAAGGACCGCCTCTTACGAAAAGCATGGTCGCCTTTTTAGGCAAGCATGGGTTGCTGAAGTAAAATATGTACAGCAAAGCATGTGCAATCAAGTATGTACAGTAAAGTATGTAAAGTAAAGTATTACAGCAAAGTATTACAGAAAAGTATGTACAGTACAGAATGTACAGTAAAGTAAGTACAGTACAGTATGAACAGCAAAGTATGAACAGTGAAGTATGTACAGTGAAGTATGAACAGTAAAGTATTATAGTACAGTAAAGTATTACAGTAAAGAGTGTACAGTGCAGTATATACAGAACAGTATGAACAGCACAGTATGTACAGTGAAGTATGTACAGCACAGTATGTACAGTGAAGTATGTACAGTGAAGTATGTACAGTGAAGTAAGTACAGTGCAGTATGTACAGTGCAATATGTACAGTGAAGTATGTACAGTGAAGTGTGTACAGTGAAGTATGTACAGTGAAGTATGTACAGTGCAGTATGTACAGTGAAGCATGCACAGTACAGTATGTGCAGTGAAGTATGTACAGTGAAGTATGTACAGTACAGTATGTACAGTGAAGTATGTACAGTGAAGTATGTACAGTGCAGTATGTACAGTGAAGCATGCACAGTACAGTATGTGCAGTGAAGTATGTACAGTGAAGTATGTACAGTACAGTATGTGCAGTGAAGTATGTACAGTGAAGTATGTACAGTGAAGTATGAACAGTGCAGTATGTACAGTACAGTATGTACAATACAGTATGTACATTGAAGTATGTACATTGAAGTATGTACAGTGAAGTATGTGCAATGAAGTATGTACAGTGAAGTATGTACAGTGCAGTATGTACAGTACAGTATGTACATTGAAGTATGTACAGTGAAGTATGTAAAGTGAAGTATGTAAAGTGAAGTATGTAAAGTGAAGTATGTACAGTGCAGTATGTACAGTGAAGTATGTACAGTACAGTATGCTCAGAGAAGTATGTACAGTGAAGTATTTACAGCACAGTATGTACAGTACATTGTGTACAGTGGAGTATGTACAGTGAAGTATGTACATTGAAGTATGTACAGTGAAGTATGTACAGTGAAGTATGTACACTGAAGTATGTGCAGCACAGCATGCACAGTGAAGTATGTACAGTGAAGTATGTACAGTACAGTATGCACAGTGAAGTATGTACAGTGAAGTATTTACAGCACAGAATGTACAGCACAGTATGTACAGTACATTATGTACAGTGGAGTATGTACAGTGAAGTATGTACATTGAAGTATGTACAGTGAAGTATGTACAGTATAGTATGCACAGTGAAGTATGTACAGTAAAGTATGTACAGCACAGCATGCACAGTGAAGTATGTACAGTGAATTATGCACAGTGAAGTATGCACAGTGAAGTATGTACAGTGAAGTATGTACATTGAAGTATGCACAGTGAAGTATGTAAAGTGAAGTATGCACAGTGAAGTATGCACAGTGAAGTATGTACAGTGAAGTATGTACAGTGAAGTATGTACAGTACAGTATGTACAGTGAAGTATGTACAGTGCAGTATGTACAGTGAAGTATGTACAGTGAAGTATGTACAATGAAGTATGTACAGCCCAGTATGTACAGTGAAGTATGTACAGTTTCAACAAGCACAGCTCTACAATCCCTATGACGAAAAGAACAGCTCTACGACCCCTATGACAACAAGCACAGCTCTACAATCCCCATGACAACAAGAACAACTCTACAATCCCTATGACAACAAGCACAGCTCTACAATCCCCATGACAACAAGCACAGCTCTACAATCCCTATGACAACAAGAACAACTCTACAATCCCTATGACAACAAGAACAACTCTACAATCCCTGTGGTTATAAGACCACTCTCTCAACTCACAACATGGACCCGGGGATTGTCATATTATACTTCCTTGTTCCTGCTTGCACATATCGACCAACTCATGCAGCCAGTGAGCGCTAAATATAGCATCAACACATAAACGGGTGCGACATGCACCACGGTGATCTCACGGTCAGACCCACATACACAACTACCTGGTTACTGCCGACCCACATTCACTGGGTGTGTTGCATGACGTGTATTGCATGACGTGTATAAACGTCTAGACGATCTCCATATATTCTATGTGTTGCTTGACATGTATACACGTCTAGACGATCTCCATATATTCTATGTGTTGCTTGACATGTATACACGTCTAGACGATCTCCATACATTCTATGTGTTGCTTGACATGTATACACGTCTAGACGATCTCCATATATTCCGTATGTTGCATGACATGTATAAACGTCTAGACGATCTCCATATATTCTATGTGTTGCTTGACATGTATACACGTCTAGACGATCTCCATACATTCTATGTGTTGCTTGACATGTATACACGTCTAGACGATCTCCATATATTCCGTATGTTGCATGACATGTATAAACGTCTAGACGATCTCCATATATTCTATGTGTTGCTTGACATGTATACACGTCTAGACGATCTCCATATATTCTATGTGTTGCTTGACATGTATACACGTCTAGACGATCTCCATACATTCTATGTGTTGCTTGACATGTATACACGTCTAGACGATCTCCATATATTCCGTATGTTGCATGACATGTATAAACGTCTAGACGATCTCCATACATTCCGTCTGTTGCTTGACATGTATACACGTCTAGACGATCTCCATATATTCTATGTGTTGCTTGACATGTATAAACGTCTAGACGATCTCCATACATTCCGTCTGTTGCTTGACATGTATACACGTCTAGACGATCTCCATATATTCTATGTGTTGCATGACGTGTATAAACGTCTAGACGATCTCCATATATTCCATGTGTTGCTTGACATGTATAAACGTCTAGACGATCTCCATACATTCCGTCTGTTGCTTGACATGTATACACGTCTAGACGATCTCCACATATTCTATGTGTTGCATGACATGTATAAACGTCTAGACGATCTCCATATATTCCGTATGTTGCATGACGTGGATACACGTCTAGACGATCTCCATATATTCCACGTGTTGCATGACGTGTATAAACGTCTAGACGATCTCCATACATTCCGTCTGTTGCTTGACATGTATATAGGTCTAGACGATCTCCACATATTCTATGTGTTGCATGACGTGTATAAACGTCTAGACGATCTCCATATATTCCGTATGTTGCATGACGTGGATACACGTCTAGACGATCTCCATATATTCCACGTGTTGCATGACGTGTATAAACGTCTAGACGATCTCCATACATTCCGTCTGTTGCTTGACATGTATATAGGTCTAGACGATCTCCATATATTCCGTGTGTTGCATGACGTGTATAAACGTCTAGACGATCTCCATACATTCCGTCTGTTGCTTGACATGTATATAGGTCTAGACGATCTCCACATATTCTATGTGTTGCATGACGTGTATAAACGTCTAGACGATCTCCATATATTCCGTATGTTGCTTGACATGTATATACGTCCAGACGATATCAATATATTCCATGTGTTGCTTGACCTGTAAGGAGAACTTTTTAATCCCTGACAATAAGGTGAGATGAAATGGGGTTCACAAAACCCTCAGCTTCCCCCCCCGCGAGTTACCCCAATTCCGCCAGCTTGTTTCCCCATTACCCCAGCTAGTTACCCCCATCCGCTCAGCTCTTGTTACCCCCATCCCACCAGCTTGTTACCCCCATCCGCTCAGCTCTTGATACCCCCATCCGCTAGCTAGTTACCCCCATACCGCCAGCTAGTTACCCCCATCCTCCCACCGCGAGTTACCCCCATCCCGCCAGCTAGTTACCCCCATCCGCCCAGCTCTTGTTACCGCCATTCCGCTAGCTAGTTACCCCCATCCGCTCAGCTCTTGTTACCCCCATCCGCTCAGCTCTTTTTACCCCCATCCCGCCAGCTAGTTACCCCAATCCTCCCACCGCGAGTTACCCCCATCCCGCCAGCTAGTTACCCCCATCCGCCCAGCTCTTGTTACCGCTATTCCGCTAGCTAGTTACCCCCATCCCGCCAGCTTGTTACCACCATCCCACCAGCTAGTTACCCCCATTCCAGCAGCTTGTTACCGCCATGCCGCTAGCTAGTTACCCCCATCCCGCCAGCTTGTTACCACCATCCCACCAGCTAGTTACCCCCATTCCAGCAGCTTGTTACCGCCATGCCGCTAGCTAGTTACCCCCATCCGCTAGCTTGTTACCCCCATTCCAGCAGCTTGTTACCCCCATTCCGCCAGCTTGTTACCCCCATCCCGCCAGCTAGTTACCCCCATCCCGCCAGTTTGGTATCCCTATCCCGCCAGCTAGTTACCCCTATCCCGCCAGCTTGTTACCCCCATCCCGCCAGCTGGTTACCCCTATCCCGCCAGCTAGTTACCCCTATTCCGCCAACTTGTTACCCAAATCCCGCCAGCTAGTTACCCCCATTCCGCCAGCTTGTTACCCCCATCCCGCCAGCTAGTTACCCCCATTCCGCCAGCTTGTTACCCCCATCCCGCCAGCTAGTTACCCCTATCCCGCCAGCTAGTTACCCGTATCCCGCCAGCTAGTTACCCCTATCCCGCCAGCTTGTTACCCCTATCCCGCAAGCTAGTTACCCCCATCCCACCAGCTTGTTACCCCTATCCCGCCAGCTAGTTACCCCTATCCCGCCAGCTAGTTACCCCCATTCCGCTAGCTTGTTACCCCCATCCCGCCAGCTAGTTACCCCCATCCCGCCAGCTTGTTTCCCCCATCCCGCCAGCTTGTTTCCCCCATCCCGCCAGCTAGTTACCCCCATCCCGCCAGCTAGTTACCCCCATCCCGCCAGCTTGTTTCCCCCATCCCGCCAGCTTGTTTCCCCCATCCCGCCAGCTTGTTACCCCCATCCCGCCAGCTGGTTACCCCCATCCCGCCAGCTGGTTACCCCCATCCCGCCAGCTTGTTACCCCTATCCCGCCAGCTAGTTACCCCTATCCCGCCAGCTAGTTACCCCCATTCCGCTAGCTTGTTACCCCCATCCCGCCAGCTAGTTACCCCCATCCCGCCAGCTTGTTTCCCCCATCCCGCCAGCTGGTTACCCCCATTCCGCCAGCTTGTTACCCCCATCCCGCCAGCTAGTTACCCCTATCCCGCCAGCTAGTTACCCCTATTCCGCCAACCTGTTACCCCAATCCCGCCAGCTAGTTATCCCCATTCCGCCAGCTTGTTACCCCCATCCCGACAGCTAGTTACCCCCATTCCGCCAGCTAGTTACCCCCATCCCGCCAGCTGGTTACCCCCATTCCGCCAGCTAGTTACCCCCATCCCGCCAGCTTGTTACCCCCATCCCGTCAGCTTGTTACCCCCATCCCGCCAGCTAGTTACCCCTATCCCGCCAGCTAGTTACCCCCATCCCGCCAGCTGGTTACCCCCATCCCGCCAGCTGGTTACCCCCATTCCGCCAGCTTGTTACCCCCATCCCGCCAGCTAGTTACCCCTGTCCCGCCAGCTAGTTACCCCTATTCCGCCAACCTGTTACCCCAATCGCGCCAGCTTGTTACCCTCATTACCCCAGCTAGTTAAACCCTTCCCCCTCTCCCCCCCCCCCCCCCTCTTACTCGTGAGCGATTAACCCCCATCCCGCCGGCTAGTTACCCCCATCTCGCAAGCTAGTTACCCCCATCCCCCTAGCTACGTCCCAATAACGCATAGCACTACAATACGACTTTCAACAATCACATGCTTACTGTGCCCATGTTCTGCTCTACGAATTCGAAGCGTTTTCAAACAAGCAAGCGTATATACATGCATATTTAACAGGTCACGTGTCGATTGAGTTTCATAGTAATTTACTTCCTCCTTGGTAGAAACTCCAGCAGAGCGACATACCAGCCCTCTATGTCAGATTGCTAGTCACCTCAAGCGCCACCATGCTATCATGGAAGACGGTCATCCTATTCTGGGTGTTAATATTCCTGGGAAAAAACGGTATGTCCATATATATGTCATATATATTCACTTTATTTTAGAGTTGGTAGCGATTTTGATACATTGACACGGACTATGCCTGTCACGCACAGAACGCTGTGTGACATAAAGACATCAACATTGATCTTAGAACGTACGAAACAAGTATATCTTAAATTTCTCACGCTCTAAATACTTTTTGTGTTGTGGACCCGTCTCGCTCACAGCAGCTATGAGAAACGCAATTGTCCAGACATTAGACAAACCTCTGTGTATATAGTCACCCTGCATTACTGCAGCTACTTAAGAGGTTATACTTTTTATGGTAGCTTCTGTGTGCGCTATCATAACATTTGTGACACTGTTTGGTGGAGTACCAACACTGTCGATTGTTCGATACACACAGTGTAGTTCTGTGTAGTTATGCAACGCTGCACATTGGTGAACACTTTGTAATCGGTGCACAATGCAGATTGTCTTTGTTTGCGAAATACGGTCAACCCTTAGTTGTCGTATTGCGCATGTCTTGTTCTTTTCATGTTAAAGCCTGGCCCTGGTTTAAGCGATGGCTGACTACCGGCAAGACTTTAATTGATCGTTTCAATACGTTTTTGTCGATTATTGCTATGATTATGAGACCAGATTAACCTTTGCACGTAGTACCCGAATGACAACCACATTTCATCTGCTTTAATAGCGGTGAAGGACAACTCTGGTGTACTCATCCCTATAGCATACAGGTTCTACAAGGGGGCCTTCAGTTAGGTTTACGTGTAAGTAGGCACACCCTAAATCAAAGTCTCTAGAGCTCTGGAGCTTCTAAAAGTGTATGTTTGTGACCCTGCTTAATCCTGATGTTTGTGTCACGATTCAGAGACACAGGAGCTATTTCTATCTGTTTTTATCTGTTATACCTTTTTATCCGGAAATAAGCAGTAAAACTGAAAGTTTATCTCTTGCCTCACATCTGCCCTTCGACCTCCGCAATCCAGTGTTTGTTCTCTAGACCATGATGCTACACCGGTATACGTCAACGTTGTATGGTGGAAGGCATGCGTCAACACACTGACTGTAGGGGACTGTACGCCATAGGCAACGTGTTCATCTCACTTCCTCCTTGGCCTGATGGAGTTGAATCCCGATAACGCTCTCCAGAGTAGATCAACAACGAAACGATAAATGACACGATACAGGAATGTAGCGGAGGGGGTGGAGGAATAGTTGAAGTAATAGATGAAGGAATAGAATGAGGAATAGATGGAAGAATAGATGAGGAGTAGATACCACCATACATCTAAAGCAAGATGCGGATCACCCAGCACTGTGGCCGTCATGAGACACCCGATGACAATGCAGACCACCAAGTCTCCAGTCAGGGTCGGATCATATACTCTCATCACCCCAGTCCACTATTTGGAAGACATAATACTATTATTCGAAAACTTCATAACACAAGCATTTGCCGTGTAGGAAAGTAATAGCGTGTAATGTTGTACATTCAGAGTCATAAATACTTTTATCATGTAATGGGTGGGTTTCTCGTCAGGATAACGCAAACGGGTAAAAACGATATCCGTTGAGGTCATATGCGGATAGAGTTGCAAATATCAAAGGTCAAGTAGGAACTACTTTCACTGTTTATAAACAAACATGGCGTCTTTCGGCGATTGCGTCAGAATTGTCTATCGGGAATCTGGAGAGACTACTGGGATATTTGCTATCATTATGAAAATGGTGGAAAAACTCCACTTTTCCACATTTATCAACTCGTGTTGATATATTTGATATCAATAGACACATGGGTGAGATTCTCTATATGTTCGAATTGTTTCCTTGTTTCGTTTCGTCGCTGGGGGTACATATGACTGCACTTCGAAACGTTATTACAGGCCGACTGTCAACGTCTGACTGTGGCCGCGACGTTTCATGGACTAGAGTTAGAGTAGCTTCCCTTTGATAAAAGGCAGTTTCTCTATCGGACAGACCGATGGATTGCCGCAAAGGCAAGTGTGTAGATGTGCGTAGATAATTGTTGTTTTCCATACATGTAGTTACGCCACTGTATAAGCAACAGGTTTCAGTTGGAACTATATTGGCTACTGTCACTGTACGACTGACACACCACTTACCCTCTGACGTGATATATATCATGATCAATGTGCACTTTCCAGGAAAACTTGCAATGAGTGTGAGAGATGGGAAGAGATTTTCGAGCACAGAATTAAAGAATGGCATTATATGATACAGGGGTAATCACGCCTGTGTGTTTGGAGATGGTAAATAGCCTGTATTAGGAATAAACACTATGTATAAAGCTCGCCAAGGATTCCCTGTATGTTCGAGCAAATATCTTACGGTTTTAATAGGTGTAGGTTGACTAGTGCATAGAGCAAAGTGAGCCTCGCGTCAATGCCTCTCCCTGGCGTCTGTCTCGTCAGTAAAGTAAGCCGCCATTAGGGGCAGATCATTTCATATTGGTTGGGTGGTTGGATGTGAGGAACCGTGTAATTCTTGTGGCAGAGAATTTCTTTGTTTCTCAACAATATGAAGCATCATTAGGTTTTTCGAGCAATTTCGTAGTTCCCCACGGGTTGATAAATCCAGTATTTCATCATGGCATACACCATGCACTACTAATTTTGGCCCAATGTGGTGTTCTATCAACCAAATCTTATTGGGTACACTGCGATTATCTGTCGTTGTGGTCATCTATGTCAGTTTGTGGACAATGGGTGTCACGTCAGCTGTTGGATTAGGTCCAATGTCCCTGTTGTTTGTTAACATAAATAAAATACAATGTGAATGTTTATCTGTGATCAACCAATCCCGAGCAACTTCCTCCATTTTCTTCCTATCATTTGAAATGTAAATAACTGTAAGATAAGCAATGCTGTTAAAATACCATGAACATGCACACACATATTTACATATGAATAAAGGCTTGCTTTTCCTTATAATCAGATAAACATCGAATAGGGCCACATCAACACAAACATTGCAATGTCTTCACAAATCACGTACACGGACTGATATGCTGGGCATGCGCGTGTTGTTCCACCAATCACAGGCCGCCCCGTCACAGCATCTTTATAACACACGACAGAACGATGTAGACGGTGCCGGAATAAAATAACGATAGTACCCACCAAGAACAGCGCATGTATTTTTACCTTAAACATGAGAAATCATGGTTTCTAAGCAATGCATAAAAGCCTCACAGGCATCCACACAGACAACTAGTCCTGACCTTGAGGGCGATATTTTGGCTTGTAACATTATCATGCAAAGTAAATCGGATCAGTTTGATAAAATTCCACTTCATGAATATTAATGGTTAAATAAGCCCTCTAAACTGTCGTCAGAAAGAGAGGTTGTTGTTACATTCAATAGCGAGGTCAATCTGTTATAAGCCTAACTCAACCTTAGCATACCCACGGGGTTCTTATTCAGTGTGGACCTATTAAGTGTGCAACTGGTGTATATATCGCTATTCATTGTGCACCTGTTGTATATATCGCTATTCAGTGTGCACCTGGTGTATATATCGCTATACAGAGTACGCCCGTTGTATATAGTGCTATTCAGTGTGCGCCTGGTGTATATATCGCTATTCAGTGTGCAACTGGTGTATGTATCGCTATTCAGTGTGCACCTGATGTATATATCGCTATACAGAGTGCGCCTGTTGTATATATCGCTTTACAGAGTGCGCCTGTTATATACATCGCTATTCAGTGTGCACCTGTTGTATATATCGCTATACAGAGTGCGCCTGTTGTATATATCGTTATTCAGTGTGCGCCTGGTGTATATATCGCTATACAGAGTGCGCCTGTTGTATATATCGCTAGTCAGTGTGTACCTGGTGTATATATCGCTATACAGTGTGCACCTGGTGTATATATCACTATTCCGTGTGCACCTGGTGTATATGTCGCTATTCAGTGTGCACCTTGTGTATATATCACTCTTCAGTATGCGCCTGGTGTATATATCGCTATTCAGTGTGCACCTGGTGTATATATTGCTATTCAGTGTGCACCTGGTGTATATATCACTATTCAGTATGCGCCTTGTGTATATATCGCTATTCAGTGTGCACCTGGTGTATATATCGCTATCAGTGTTCGTCTGGTGTATATATTGCTATTCAGTGTGCACCTGCTGTATATATCGCGGTTCAGTGTGCACCTGCTGTATATATCGCTATTCCGTGTGCACCTTGTTTTATAGTTCGCTATTCCGTGTGCACCTTGTTTATATATCGCTATTCAGTGTGCACCTGGTTTATATATCGCTAGTCAGTGTGCACCTTGTGTATATATCGCTTTTTAACGTGCACCCGGTGTATATATCGCTATTCAACGTGCACCTGGTATACATCACTGTTCAATGTGCACCTGGTGCATAAATTCCTATTCAATGTGCACCTGGTGTATATATCGGTATTGAACGTGCACCTGGTGTATAAATCACTATTCAATGTGCACCTTGTGTATATATCGCTATTCAATGTGCACCTGGTGTATAAATCACTATTCAATGTGCACCTGGTGTATATATCGCTATTCAATGTGCACCTGGTGTATAAATCACTATTCAATAAGCACCTTGTGTATATATCGCTATTCAATGTGCACCTGATGTATAAATCACTATTTAATGTGCACCTGGTGTATATATCGCTATTCAATGTGCACCTGGTGTATAAATCACTATTCAATGTGCACCTTGTGTATATATCGCTATTCAATGTGCACCTGGTGTATAAATCACTATTCAATGTGCACCTTGTGTATATATCGCTGTTCAACGTGCACCTGGTGTATAAATCACTATTCAATGTGCACCTGGTGTATATATCGCTATTCAATGTGCACCTGATGGATAAATCGCTATTCAACATTCACCTGGTGTATAAATCACTATTCAATGTGCACCTGGTGTATAAATCACTATTCAATGTGCACCTGGTGTATATATCGCTATTCAATGTGCACCTGGTGTATAAATCACTATTC